AGTGGAGTATTTACAGACTTGCAATCTTCCATATTAAACTTACTTAAAACCTTTTTTATGTAAGCAGACTGACTTAAAGATATCTGATCTTGGCCCACTTCTATTTTCATTCCAATAAAGTATCGTATTTCGCCCAAGTCAGACATTCTAAATTTTGTCATTAGGTATTGTTTAAAATTTTCTAATCCTTTTATGTCGTATGTCGCTATAACTAAGTCATCCACATATAGTAAAACATACATATTTTTCTTGATATCGCCATTGTCTTTAAGATATATACAACGATCAACAGATGAATTTTTAAATCCACATTCCTTTAATGCATGCTCAAATACTTCAAACCAGCATCTAGCTGCTTGTTTGAGCCCATAAATTGATTTGTTAAGTTTACATACATTTTCAAAATTGCAAACAATTCCTTGAGGAACTTTCATGTATATTTCCTCCTTCAACGTACCATTAAGAAAGGCCGTTTTAACATCCATGTGATGTATTTTAAAATTATATTGGTTCGCGATGGATAAAATAAAACGGAAACTGGAAATTCTAGCAACCGGAGCGAACGTTTCATCGTAATCTATTTGATATTTTTGTGTAAACCCCCGTGCAACTAATCTGGCTTTATACCTAACTGGATTTCCCATTTCATCATGCTTTAAAGTAAAAACCCACTTACAATCTACAATATTCTTATTTTCAGGCTTTTTAACAATAGTCATTTACAATAGTTATTTAGTGTATGAGCAGAAAGCTCGACCTTAATAGCTTCTTCCCATAAAGACCTATCTTCTCTACTTTTTACTTCATCAAATGAACAAGGCACTTCATTAAAAACAGTGTGAGCATTCATTATAAAATTATTTAAATTTATTTCATCTTCTTTATAGGATATGCTTGGTTTATTTTTTAATCTGTCGCTTCTTCTAGTTACATCATTAGTTACTTTAGCGATTTCATGTGTTGACATTTTTGGTCGCTTAACTTCCTTACTGTCATTCGGGAAACTATCTTTATCACTATCCTTACTTTCGTTCAGGATATCTTGTTCAAAACATTCCATACTCTCATTCTGGATATTTTCATTTTCAGAGTCCTTACTTTCATTCGTGATCTCTTGTTCATAACATTCCATACTCTCATTCTGGAAATTTTCATTTTTAGAATCCTTACTCTCATTCAGGATCTCGAGTTCACAACATTCCATACTCTCATTCTGGACATTATATTCAACACAATCATTAATTTCATTCAGGGGGTTACTTTCCTTACTTTCTTTCGGGAATATATTATTTTTGTTGTCCTTACTATCATTCAGGGCTTCGTTTTTAGCAACTCTAGAGTTAACCATATTTGTCTCATCTACTACTACGTCTCTGGCGACTATGAATTTCTCATTTTCAGTATCCCATAATTTAAAACCATTTGGTTCGTACCCAACAAATATGGTTTTAAACGATTTTTCATCAAATTTATGTTTTCTTATTTTATTGTGTACATACACAGTCGAACCAAATATTTTTAAATATTTTAAAGTCGGCTTTCTATTATGCCACATCTCGTAAGGCGTTGTTGGACGATCTCCAAGTGCCCTACTTGGAATTCTGTTTATAATATATGTTGCCGTTAACACAGCCTCACCCCAAAAAGATTTGTCTAGTTTTGCACCATTTACCATTGCTCGAGCCTTTTCAGTTATTGTTCTGATCATTCGCTCTGAAACTCCATTTAACTGTGGAGTATATGGTACAGTCAAATGGTAACTAATTCCTTTCTGAACACAGAACTCACGCATATCGTTAGATAAATATTCCCTACCATTGTCTATGTAAAGATTAACAACTTTAAGATTAAAGTGGGCTTCACTTTTTGAGATAAAATCTTTAAACATGTTATACACATCCGACTTATGTTTTATTAAGTAAGTGACACAATAATGAGTAAATTGATCCACAAAAATTACATAGTAATTTTTATCATCAATAGTTGTTGGTGTTATCGGACCACAGACATCAGAATGAATTACAAAAAGAGGTCTATTTATATGCTCTTTATTTTTAAATTTTTCAAATCGTAATCTGGCTTGTTTTCCATTCAAACAAGCTTCGCAAATATTGTCGGTAGGATTAACACTATTAAGGAGGCTATTATCACTAAATAAATTCTTTCTTTTTATTTCTAACATTTTTCCTTTACTTATATGCCCCAGTCTCTCATGCCATAACTTATATAAATCTTTATTTTTTGTATCTATTTTATATGCTTTAAATTCAATAACTGGTATATTGTACGCACCTGAGTTTTCAGCAATAGTTTTTCCATTTTTCGTCAATTTTACTCCCTTTTCATCAAACATGACAGTCACTCCAGCCTCTTGTAGCCTTTTTACGGAAATCAGATTTTCTGCAACTTCTCCGCAGTACAGCACGTCTTCCAGAGTTATCTGATATTCATTTTCCAAGCGGACGACTCCACGCTTGGTTGCAAAAATATACTCCCCTACAGCAATCTTTATGGGAGTTTCCAGGTCAGCATAGTCCACAAATAATGACTCATCGTTTATGAGGTGGTCGGTAGCACCCGAGTCAAGAATAAAATTCACGTTCCCGTTTAAATTATTATTAATTTTATTTAAACTCTTAAGCATGAACGCGAAGCCTGGCTTGGTTGTTGCAGTGTGCACTTGTTTATTATTTTCATTATTTATTTGTTTTTTATAACTGTAACAATCTTTTTTCATGTGTCCTAGTTTTCCACAGTTTATGTTGTTAAGTTTTTGTTTTATATTATATGGTTTTTGCGTATTATTATTTCTGTTATAATTTTTAGCATTAAACTTATATTTGTTATTGTTTTTATAATTTGTTTTATAGTTATTGTTAAAATTATTTTTGGCCTCAGCCTGCATAACTTTTTTACTAGTATCGTTATTAGCATTTTTTATTTTTACTTCATGGTCTAGTAAGCGATTTTTCACAAAAGCAAGCGTTATATTTTCCTCCGAAAGTGTCTCTATAGCTTTGATCACCCCGTCATAAGATGCTGGCAATGTAAGCAGCAAGTGCGAAATTCTGTCCATTTCGTCTAATTTACAACCGGACGCCAACAGTTCGCCAACCAGTTCATCAAAAACCACAAAATGTGTAACTAATGCCATTTCACTCTTAAGCTTTAGCGACAACAACCGTTTGCGTACAGATAACTGTGACGCCAGACTTTTCCGCTCATACACAGAATCCAGACTTCTAAGAATTTCGCGAGCTGTGTTGTTGCTTGTCGCGAAACTCAAGAAGGAGTCACTCAAATGTTCTATCAGTGTACTTTTAGCTCTCCTCTCTGCCTTTACCCAATTTTCATCCAACTCGTCAGGAATTTCAAGTGCTCTAACTCTAAACTTCCACACAGAATATTTCTCGCCGTCAAACGGCTTAATGTTTCGCTTTGACTTGTCCATTTTGTACATATATGTATATTAGCACGTGTTATGCTAATTCTTAGAAATCAAAGAACAATTGTTATGCACTTTTAATTTCTTAAACGCACGTGGCCTGGGCCCATAACCTATTGAAATATTACGCTTATCTGTTCAGTCCTTTATCAGTTTAAATAAGAACACGATTATTAGATGGATATGTTTTATGATCGTTGTTTTATATATTGATTTATATTTCTTATTTTCTGCACACAACCAGCCACTTGTACACGAGGATCAGAAAGAGAAGGATAAACGAAAAGTGTGCCCGAATATTCAAAAGTAGGGATTTCTATAATGTAAATTTTTGTAATGTACATAACAGTAGGGATGGCGAATAAACTGTTATGTTCAACAATTACAAATTAATTAAGTTAATATATTATAATTTTTTAAGATGCACTATTTAGTTTGTAAGTTGAAGATAAAAAAAAAATTTATTGGATGTATTGGCCCAATTTCCATGGATATTTTGTAAATTTTTGTCCCAGGGTGCATTGGTTTCTATGGGGCGGAATAAAAAGGCGTAACCCGATTGGCACAATTTTGTCCAGACTTTGCATATATAATAACTGTACAGTGTGCCAAGTTTTAAGTCTGTATTTTTCTAGTTTATGCAAGAATATTGGGCATTGGGACCAGTGTGCATTCTACGCGTTTTTTTAAACAAGCCAATAACCTTATTTCTTCTTAGAAATAAAACAGTTAAAATTTTAATTAAAATCTTCTTTTGTTTATTTATATCAAAAATACCCATAAGTATGTATCAGCTCCCACTTTCCACTATATCGATTTCTTCCCGTCCCTTTTTAGCAGAAATACTGCTTATGTAAAAAAATATAGCTGTAGCACAATCATTCTTTGTCTGAAGAAGTTGAAAGTCGTTCACTTTTGGCGCCATCCTACGCCTTTTTTTTTAACAAGCCGAGAACTCTATTTTTTCTTTTTAATAAAACAGTTAAAAATGTTATTAAAATTTTATTTTGTATATTTTAAATCTAAAAATCAATTTAATTTTAATGCTCTAACATTCAAGTTTATTTTCCAAAAAAAACTCACATAAATCCTTTCAAAGTATTAATTAAATTTTTATTTAACTGTACCGGTACGTACCGGTACAAGATATAACCGAAACCAAAATATAACCGCTTACCAAATAATCAGATTCTGTATGGGACCAGTACCGGAACCGGAACAGAAATAAGATTCAATTTGATTCCCTGGTTATACGAATACTTTACAGAGAAACTGACACAGAAACCGTTTGCAAGCGACGATTTTAAACCTGATTCTTGGGCGAGATCGTTCATATTTGTTTGAAAGGACCTACACAAAATTGCACCAACAAAGTAATTTTGTTTGTTTTAAATAGAACAGAAATCCACTACTTCGGTGCTTGTAGATCCCCTACTTTCTTACACTAATTTAGCGGAGTGACGGGTATTAAATAGTCGAGGTCGTTTCTTGTTTTGCACTCTCTGGCAGGATTTGACAACAGCTAAAACTTTTATAGTTGAATTTTAAATCGTACCTTAAATATTTGCGCAGTAGCTAGTATTGACAAGAATATATGTAGAAGTTTGACATCCATCTATAAGAAATGTAAAATAGAAATAGTTATAAGAATCAATTTTCCAATTGTATCAAACTTTTAGTCAAACTCTAATAACACTATGCAGCATCAAAAATGAACCTCGATGGATGCTATATTTTTGGATTCGTTACGAATTCCCAAGTTAAACTGCGTTTTCCAAAAAGTTCCCCGACGCAAGGATTCTTAGCAAAAGGGCCTCAAAGTTCGAAAAATGCTGAAATTGGCCAACTTTGCGGAGCTCTCAGAGGCAAATGGATGCATGGCTTGGTTCGAAGTTAAAGTTTTTTAAAAGATACACCCTTTATCTTTCAAACCCCATACATAAAATAATTTTAGGATTTTTTTTTAAGGCAGAAATAAATTCCAAAAAACATAGTCAAAAAACTGAAAAACATACAGCTGCGGTCAAAATAGTAGCAGTGTTGCCCCCTTGTGTTTTTAAAAGTTTGATGTTGTAATTTTTCTTATCCAATTAGTCTAATAGTAAAATTATAATCAATACAATATTACCAGGAAAAGATCAATTACAACAACAAACTTTTAAATACACAGGGCGGCAACACTACTACCATTTTGACCGCTGCTGTATACTTTTATGTTTTTTGACTATGTTTTCTAGAATTTGTTTTTGAAGTATAGGGTTTAAAAGATAAAGGGTGTATCTTTTAAAAAACTTTAACATCGAATCAAACCATGCATCCATTTGCCTCTGAGAGCTCCGCAAAGTTGGCCAATTTCAGCATTTTTCGAACTTTGAGGTCCTTTTGCTAAGAATCCTTGCGTCGGGGAACTTTTTGGAAAACGCAGTTTAACTTGGGAATTCGTAACGAATCCAAAAATATAGCATCCATCGAGGTAAATTTAAAAAGCACTAAAAATGCTGCACAGTGTAATCATAAATAACATGAACACATTATACACGTTACTCTTGGAGAAAAAGGCTATAGGTACGAAGCAGGTAGAAGAAAGCGTTTACGACTCTTTAAAGTATATGGGTAATTCCACGTGAAACGTGACAGGTCCATTTAGGTCAAATCTCAGAATCGATCGAAACTTTTTTTTCGATAAAGGATTGAAATATAAAGGTCGATTTTTTATACCGATTTTTTATACCCTTGCAGAGGGTATTATAATTTCAGTCAGATGTTTGCAACGCAGTGATGGAGACGTTTCCGACCACATAAAGTATATATATTCTTGATCAGCATCAATAGCCGAGTCCATCTAGCCATGTCCGTCTGTCCGTTTTTATGCGAACTAGTCTCTCAGTTTTAAAGTTATCGCGATGAAACTTCCCCAAAATTCTTCTTTCTATTGCAGGTAGTACATATGTCGGACCACTATATCTTATGGTACCCATATGAATAATCAAAAAAATAATAGAAAAACCATTGTAACTTTGTAGAAAGTAGACGTTTTGATTTTTGACAATGTAAAAACAACATGTTAAGTAGGCATACCTGCATACCTTCGGCTGTCCGAAGTTAAATTCCTTTCTTGTTTATTTTTTTTTTTTCCTTTCTTGTTTATTTTTTTTTTAACTCTTACCGTTTATTTTTAAAAAATATTTTTTCTAATTAAGCTCCGATTTTTTAGTTATGCAGCACTTTAGACTCGTTTGAAATACTGTTCAAACTTGCTGTTCACCTCAGTTAATATCAAGGTACCAATCTGGCAACTCTAGCATTAAGTTTGATCTGGTATTTCAGTTTCTTTTTCCACCACACTTTTGTTCTCCTCCTACATTTTACTTCTTCTTTTACTTTTTTCGTTTCGAGTTACCGACTAAAAGGAGACGTCGCAATTTATTAATAAAGACATTATAACTAAACGTTTTACTTATTGTTCTGATCACCTGCATCTGCATTGTTGGGGCAATATCCCACCAGGTTATGGGCCAAGACGCCAACGATCGAAAATAAGTGAAAAGTCGGGAAAGAGAAACTGTGAAAAATGGCAAATTCGTTCATAAGAATTGAGCCGCTAAACGCAAAAAACTACGACACATGGAAGTTGCAAATGTGTGCTATTCTTGTGAAAAATGACTTATGGCAGTATGTAAACGTTGTAGTGGAGTGCCCTGTCGAAGAGGAAAATACATTCCAATCAAATGGGCCTGTCCGCAAAGCTAGTTTACTAAAGCGAGTAGCCTTGTATCGCATGAGTGAAGGAAATGACATTAATGACTTCTTTGACGCAGTAAAGAAACTGAAAGAAATCGGGGTGGCCATATCTGGTGATCTGCTCGCGATTCTCTTGTTGTACAGTTTGCCGGATTCCTATGAGACTTTCCGATGTGCGATTGAAACACGAGACGAATTGCCAGCCCCAGATATTCTCCGTGTTAAAATACTAGAAGAGTCGCAAGCACGTAAAACGAAAACTGACCGTGAGGAACAGAGTGCACTGTACGCAAACAAATCAAAGGGAAAACTTAAAGACGATGTCTATATACGAAAGTGCGTACATGGCGGAAGTATGTGGTGTCTAGACAGCGGATGCTCAACTCACATGAGTCCCAACGAAAGCATATTTGAGAAAATTTTCAAAGTTCATTTGGCAGATCGTAGCACTGCAACAATAAGTGGAGTCGGCGAAGTAAATATCGAAGTAAAAGGAAAACAGAAGAACAATGAAATAACACTGCAAGAAGTTTTGTTTGTTTCGGAGCTACGCCAAAATTTGCTTTCGGTTTCAAGAATCACTTAAACACGGCTGATAAGTGACAAGCAAAGCGAGATTGATCTGTGGCACAATCGCATGGGTCATTTAAATGAGAAGGATTTGAAAAACATGGCGACAAGTGGAAAGGCATTCGGAATAAACATCAAGCACGGAGATAAACTTTCGCAGTGGGAAATTTGTATCACAGATAAACAAGCAGCGAATCACTACAAAAGCGCCACTGAGAGAAGAACTGCAAGTACACTGGAAATTGTTAACAGTGATGTGTGCGGACCAATGCGTACCCAGTCCATGAGCGGATACAAATATTTCGTTACGTTTATTGACGATTATTCTCGCTACTGTTCATTATACTTTCTAAAGCAGAAAGCCGAAGTACTTGAAGCGTTTAAATCATACAAAGCTTTAGCTGAAATACAAAAAATCAAGGCGTTGCAGAGCGACAATGGGACTGAGTTTCGAAACAAGGAGTCCGACAATTTTCTTTGAACCAACGCACAGTGGTGGAAATTACTGATTTAGCAGCGATTAATTCAAATTTCATCTTAATTATTGGCGCCAAAAATGTTTTTTAATCGATAACTAATACATCCGATAGGCCAAAAAAACGTTTCATTTCGCTTTCCTCTCGATATTCGCACAGCTGTAAAGCTTCAAACACAACATATGTGTTTCATCAGCTGCCACTAACCGCTCTCCCACCAATTTTTACCACTCTCTACAATTTGCAAATAATTCGATTTTATTTATTGCAATTCAACTTTTTGCTATTAATATGGAAAAAGGTATGTAATTAACTACAAAATAAGTGTTTGTGACCTGTGATTGTGTTCGTTCCAAAATTGTATGAGGTGTAGTGCACGTAAGAGATATATGTTTACTAACAAACTAAACTTTCGTAGACCAGAACTTTGAAGGATCGACTGGGATCGATATTAATGTTTTTTTATAAAAATAAGTCAATATTTTGCGCTGTGGAAATGTCCAACATAAGCAGCATATTTCCGCATATTACCTTTAAATATTTTTTTTTAGCCTCATTGCCAGTGTCCAAGCGCGTGATATTTTCAGTATCGGTCATAGAAAATGATGCTTCCAAAAAAAAATTTTTTTTCTGACATACGTCTACAACAATATTATGGCTAGCTTTATATGTATAAAAATATTGACTGCACAAAATAAAAATTTTACTACAAAAATTAAATATTAAAAACAAAAAAAAATTAAAAATAAAAAAAAATCTGCAAAAATTAGTTGTATATTAATTTTGATTTGTGGTTCGAATCTCTACCATAAAAAATTATCCGTTCAAAAATATCATCATTATTTCAGTCATTTCTACCACTTCTACTCTACTTTCTACTCCGCATACGCCGCAACAAAACGGCATCTCAGAAAGACAGGCCAGGTGTATGATGAAACAATCAGAGGCGCCACCTACGTTTTGAGCTGAGGCGATCAACACGGCATGTTACATCCGTAACAGGTGCCCAACGAAGGCACTTTCTGGCGACTTACCATACACCTTCTGGACATCTAAAATTCACACAGTAATTTACATGCTCACCTTGCGGTACAAAAGCTTTTGCGTTATTAAAAGGTGTACACAAGGGAAAGTTTGAGTCTAAATCAGAAGAGTGTGTTTTCCTTGGATACTCTAACGAATCGAAGGCCTATCGACTGTAGTCCTCAAAAAGGCGTACCATAATAACAAGCAAAGATGTTAAATTCATGCATGTCTCTGCTTCAAAAGCGAATACCAGGAGTTCTACGATGACGAAGATTCAGATGGTGCTGACATCGAGATGATTTGCAATGATCCAGACCCACGACACTGAAGGAGAGCAGAATGCGGCACCACGTCGAGGCAGAGGTCGTCCCAAAATCCTACGAAGAGGGCAGCGTGGGAGACCGCGAAAAATATATTAAGCAGTGCGCGACGGTCGAAGTAATATCGATGCATTTGAAAACGATGATGGCGATCCATTGGTCTCGAATAGTTCTCTGGAGGACGTGTTCGAGGAGTGTGAAATGGCATTTGTGGCGGCTGTAGGAGATCCATTAACCTTCAAGGAAGCGCAAAGTTCCGGAGATTCGATCTACAGGACACGAGTAGTCGAGGACGAGTTTATGGCACAGATTCTCAACAATACCTGGAAAGTCGAAGAGTGTCCAGATAATCGAAAGGTAATTGGAAACAGGATGGTTTTTCAAACGAAGGATGACGGCACCTAAACTGGCAGAAAGAAGGCTCGATTGGTAGCGAAGGGCTATGCACAGAAACCCGGAGAAGATTTCTTTGAAACCTAGTC